AACAAAAACAAAAAAAAAAAAGGATGTCACATTTTCATTTTGTAATTTAATCTTTATCTTTAAACATGATCGTATGTCTTTTGGATTGTTGTTACTTAAACCGGTTTTTTTTCATTTTGTTCCGTTTTTTTTTTTTTTTTTTGATAAATAAATGAAATTTACATTTTTAATATACATTACAGAAGCATTTATTCATTTCATATTTATTGAGTTCAGGTAAATTTTAAAATGAAAAAAATTGAATTGAATTTTAATTCGTATTGGCCAATGAAAAATGGCTTTTTTTTAAAATAAATTATACCTTTTTTTTTTATGAATTTTTACGAATTTTACAAATTTGCCACGAATTTTTTACGCATTTATTTCGTATTTTTTCCTTTTTTTTTTTTGAATTTGCAAGAATTTAATTGAAAAGTTCTTTCAGTAACTGAATTTTAAACATAACGAAGTTTTTTTTTTTTTTGATCGCATAACTTTCCTGCAAAAATTGCAAAATATCGAATTATTCGGAAAAAAATTTAACAGCGTGACCCTCTTTTTTTCACGTATCATACAATTTTTTCTGCATAATATTTTGGGCTCAAAATTTTCAATTATAAATTTTACGTGACCTCACGTAATTCTTGGTACAAATTATAGAAAAAAAAAAAAGCAACTGATTTATATAATATACGAATTGTTTCTAAGATAATACACGGAAAAGATATTGGTGTATGATTTAAAGGACAAACTTTACACGTGCGTGAAATGTTGTTGACATTTAAAAAATACGGTTTATACGTAAATGAAAACGTTGCTACCATTTAAAAAGTAATATTAATATATCTAATAACTGACAGCTGACCCCTAATAATTTAGAACTATATACCAACTGTTTTTTTTTTACTTATTGTCCGTAATAGTATGCTACAAGATGAACTCTTGACCTTTGGTGCATGTAAGCGGGATCTAATCGTAAAGATCGTAAAGAAAATCAATATCTCCGATGTCTTCTCCTAGCATTAACAATATGACGGAAACAAGAATACGTACGTGAAAGTAACGTAAAAGTAACATACATAGAAATGACAACAACAATGACTACAATAGAATTACTCGCCTAAGTGAGAATAAATGCGGGATTTGTTTAGCCTAAAAATGGTTTAGTCTATCTTTTACGCAAAAGGTGTTACGTGAAAGTTGACGTGGACGTGAACCTCCTTATAGAAAATGACATTCTGGTTATCAACGTGTAAGCAACGCAATCCACGCCCGTGAAACTATTGGTTGCCATCCATTGTTCTTTTGACCACAACAATTGGCGCCCATCCATTGGCCGCATCAATCGACCGTCAATTGCAATCAACTGTCATACGATGCGACAGCAGACATCGGAAGAAATGACCGGAGATTATGAGGATATAGGAGAGATGGATGATGGATAATTAAAAGGTTAATATATGAAAGACAGAGGGAGAAGGGAAAGAGAAGGGAACAGACAGAGAAAACCTCCTTAATCCATTTTAATTTTGAAAAATTGACCGCCAAAGGAGATAAAAGGCTCAAAAAAGTTACGAATTTATTTTAATCTGATTCAGTTTCAAACCTCACTACCACAGGGTGAAGTGAAATGCACGACTGAATGGAATTGAATGGAATTGAATGAAACCGAATGGAATTGAATGGAACTGAGTGGAATTAAATGGAACTGAATGGAATTGAATGAAGGTGGATGGAACTGAGTGAAATTGAATGAAACTGAATGGAATTGAATGAAGGTGGATGGAACTGAATGGAATTGAATGAAGGTGGATGGAACTGAATGGAATTGAGTGGAATTGAATGGAATTGAATGAAGGTGGATGGAACTGAATTGAATTGAGTGGAATTGAATGGAACTGAATGGAATTGAACGAAATTGAGTAGAATTGAATGGAACCGAACAGAACTGAATGAACGAGTGAATGAATGAATGAATGAATGAAGGTAGTGATTGAATTCTGCTTCCATAAATTATTTGGATGAGAATAGTTTTAAACCCAATAGATTTAAACTAATTCATTATCAGTGATAACTGATTTCATGCATTATAAAAATAGCGAATAATAATGACAATGATAACGATATCAGTTTTTGAACAATAAATGTTTTAAAATTTCAAATATAAATATTTTCAAATTTATTTTTTGCATGTGAAAATCATTACCCAATGATGCATAATTTTGGCTAATTCTAAAAAAACAAAAATGAAAATTAAAGACAATTTTTTCAAAAAAAAAAGAAAGAAATCATTGAAAATTAAATTTTCGAACAAAGAACTTATTTTTTGAATTTAAATGAAAAATGAATTAATTGTATATTACTATTGGAGATTTCAATTAGTAAATGATACTTAAAAATGAATTTAAGCATGGAAATATTCGTATAACCACTATCTCCCTGTAATATGATTCATTTCAAAAATTTCTTCACGAATATCTTTTGTCACAGGAGAGAAGACATGTGTGTCCTTGTAAAATTGAAAGCTATACTGGTGATAGCAAATGTTTGCGGTAGGATCTATCATGTTAAACAGGTGTCAACTGAAAGGTCAGACAAAGTATATTCATGGGCAAGATAGTTTACCGGCAATCATCCTAGCAGAAGGACAACTCTAATTTTAAACCCGAATAGGTGGAATTCGTTTAACCGTGTAAAAGCCATCCATCTAAGAGAAGAATACTCTATTAATATCCTCCAAACTTTGCTGTCATCATTCTAGTTTTGCTAAGTCTTAGCAGATGAATTTTAGGAATAAAGGATTAGGTCAATTGCGCTTGCTTTTTGTTTCATCTAAATCCAACTGCGCCGATTAGAAGGATACATTCATATTTGTAGTGTTTGTAACAAAACCTGAATAGAGAAAATTCTTCCCAAATCATTCCTTCATGATTCCTATCTGGGATGATTTAAATTATAAATATAATTATATTAAATAGTTATTATGATATTTCGATTACTATAATGATAATTTAATTCGAATTATAGTTTTGAGTAATCAATACTTAATGCATGTTACAAAAAAAACTTCCTGATATAATAATAACTGTTTGCATATGAAGATGACCAGTAATCAATTAATCACTAAATGCATTGATCAATCGATTAATCAATCAATCAATCAACCAATCGATTTATTAATTATGAAAATATAAAAAAGGGAAACAATGAAAAAGAGAATAAAAAGAAGATCGATCAAGTTAAAATAGTATAGGCAACAATTTCAATCGGTCAATAAATTGGTCATTTTAGGATCATTCCCAAAAACAATAAATTTCATTATTCCTTTCCATTTAATCATTTCGGAATAAAAAAAAAAAAAAAATGGATGAAAAGCAAAATTTTACACTCTTCTAAGACTTTTTAAATTTTCAACAATTCAAAAATTAAATTTAAAGGAAGGAAAAAATTTGCATAATAAAGAAAAAGTAATTTGATATGCTGAAAATGATGGTGTAATGATTGGAGTAAAAATATTAGAAATGGATGAGAATAAATAGTTTAATTAAAGGAGGAGCACTTCCGTTGATTGGTTTCGTAAAATATTTGGCTCATAATTTTTTTTTTTCTTCCGGTAACAAAGAGACGATAGCCGCTGCTCCTTCTCATCATGCAGCTGTCCATTTGGATGGCCATTCTTCACCATTTCATTCATTGTTTTCAAAAATTTTTTTACCTCTCTGACAAGACAGTCATTTGTCTAACGATGACCCTTTCAGTGACCATTTTATTGAAAGCTGTAAAAATTTGTTTTACCGTCTAATTTGCACAATTGAATAATTCAACAAACTATCAATTTGAAAATAAATTAGTGAAAAAATTTTTTAAATTTAACTTATTAAGTGATGTATTCAATTTTTAAAGTTTAGTAAACTAACTTATTCCAAGTCTTATCAATGAAACAATTTAAATATGGGAAATTCTAGACCTACAGGATAGTAGTAGTAGTAGTGGTAGTGATAGTAGTAGTAGTATATTGGTAA